TGTAAAATGGATAAAAGTAATATACTCACAATATTCGCTCTGTGTTATTGTGAAGCGTTCCACAAAATTAGTGGGAGAAAGTGAGACAAAAACAGGCCAAAAGGCAACAATAACCCCGGGAGCATCAGTTTAAATGAAGCATATTGAAATGTTCTGTTGACTAAACATCTGAAGACTCGAGGCTTTTCCTTTCAGAGCCACAGGTTCACCTTCAAACCCCCAAAAACTATTCATTTGCATTTCAAACCTCGACTTGCACAGGCAATTCACAGACAGTGATACCAGATATACAATAATTATTATATGGACACAGCAGTTTCAGTGTCTTTACAATAAACAACAAAGATTTTTAAGCCCAAATTTAGAATATTTTGTCATTTTCATTCACAATAAACCCTGTTTTTGAACATAAACACCCTAATATTGTCTGATGCAACCAGTCAGACTGTGTACTCACTAGACGAGCAACTCTCATTCCTGTGCATGCTCTTCAATCATAACCCCTCATCTTACCCCCACCCCACCCCCTAGTGGTGGATAAAATTGCTCCACCCACAAGCCTTCCCCTGTTCTTATGCACAGTGTAACTCTGACCCACTTGAATATCTTGCATCAAAACATTGAGGTTTATTAGGATTTCTTGCTCAATTCGTCCAGAAAAAGACTCATGTGTAAAACTATTCAAATTTATGGCCGTCTCTTCTTCATTTATATAAATGCAAGTGCAACAAATTCTAGCTACACGTGACAGATATATTTATGAGTGCAGTTTCATACAAAGTCTGTTTTGAAAGGGTTCATGTTTTAGAGTTTAGTAGTACTACTGAACATCGCTCATACTAGTCAAAGCAAAGTGTGTGGCAGTGGCAGCAAATGCAAAGTGCATCAACCTGAATTAATTACTAACATATTTAGCACGTTTAAGACGATTCAGTTGAAGTTTGTACGTGATATTTTTACAACAAATCGAGACTCCTCTCGTATGGCCTCACCACGTGGAGCCTCAGCAGTGATGGTGCCAGGCAACAACTAAAGAGCAGTGAACCAAAGCTGCAGGTCAGTACATCAGGTATATTATTAGTAGATGTGCAGAGAATTAAGGAGGAGCCCTGGTGCCATAATATCACCTTTGTCTGTGCCTGCTGTTTGGGTTCTGGAGCTGAAGTGAAACTGCGCTGCTGAAAACCCTGCAGGTATTTCAATAAAGCGTGTGATTTGGTCTGAGATTAGAACTATTTGTATTCCAGAGTCAAAGCAGACATGAAGGTGCTGCTAAACCAAGAATAATGCCGGCGCTCCCTTTGTTCTCTAGCACTGATTCAGGTAACGATCACAGGATCAGTCAGAGAAACCACAATCTCGTCCCAGCAGGCTTTTGACAACATTAAAACCTTGTTGCACTCTACTCCAACATTTTATTTATTTAACAATCCGACTGGGGGGAGCTTTCAAGCTGCACGTGGAAGCAGCTCATAATGAAGCCAATATTCCTCTCCCTGCAGCTGACAAACAACCTATTGACCGTCCAGTTAGTTTCCTTTCCAAGAACTTAAGATCTTGTCTGCCAAATCATTAAGTGACTTATTTAGGCTTTGCAGCCCTTTCAGGTTGGGTTTTAAAATCCAAAATACCAACAGTCATGTTTCCTGACCATAATCCTATTAACTCTGTTGAACTGCAGGGGTTTTGCAGATCAGGCATCTCCTTTCGACTGATCTTTACAGATAAAGTACTGCATGTCAAACACAGACAACCTGAGAATTTAATTAACTCATTTTTGATGGAAACTTGTTTTTTAGTGAGCTAACTTTCAGGTTTCCATCTGGTAGTTGTCTCAACAAATCCTGAAGATAACTTTAATATCAGCGCTCATTTTAATTAAGATATACTGTAATGGTTCTGCCGTTCTGTGAACAGATGGTCATAAAAGCAGATACACTTCTCAGGTTCTGTGGGTTGAACCTCTTAAAAAGACTGATTTTACACCACTGCAGTAGTTTTAGACATACAACAAAGGACAGCATTGGGGCTTTATCACATCTAGCACGTCCACAACGACTCAGCAGATTTTTCAAGCGAAAAATGGGAAGATGCTCAGCGGAGAGAAAAAAGGTGCAATCGTGTTTACAGGACTTAAAATGAACTTCACTGATCATTTTAACCAGCTCTTCAGTAACTTTACTAAACTCCACATGAATTGGGTTTTCATCCCCACCTGAGTGTCACGTTCAGGTAAGTTTGAAGTCATTTCATAAAAAAAAGGAGCTGGGTAACTTTAAATTGGCTTAACCAGCTCTGTGAGCTTATCAGCAGGCGAACAAAACGCCAAACCTTTGGAGCAATTCTGAATTCTTGGAGGCTTTCAGTCATCGCCTCATCCTCATCCTCATCCTGGCTGAAGTATAAAGGTGGTAAAAACCTGAAACACTCCTTAAGAAGAGGAATCTGGACTGACATGATAGAGGCACAAACTAAGATTTTAATTTTTATTCATTTTTGTCCCACATTGCAAAGTGTAAAGTGGGAATTGGAAATACTGTCCCTCCCCCCATCCATGAGTGAGTGAATGTTGTGGACATTATTTATGTAAACACTTCAACACTTGCTCTTGTCAAGGGTGGACGTCTTCTCCTCCTCTCCCTCTCCGCTTTACTTTTGTTCTGTACTGTCTTTGAAACTGCTTTAGAGCCTCTCTTCTACAAATCTTCATAATCATCATTATGGACATGTTTTAATCAGTTGGTCCCTCAGCACAATTAATAACATTTCTCTGAAGAGAAGACAGGCTTTAGGCGAGCTGATTCGCCCTGTTGGCACGCACACAGCTGGATATCTCATCGACTTGATGATGTGTCTATCTCTGCTGTCATTGATTGATTTTAAGGACACATATAATTGGATTTATGATAAAAACAAGACAACAAAGTGCATTTATTAAGGAAAAGTTCAACTGAGGCACATTTATACTATAAAGTCGAGCAAACAAATAATTGTTTTTATGTAGTTATCTTATTAAATTCTTGTTAAAGTCCTCCTGTGAATGCTCCCATGGCCACCATTGGCAGCCAATTGATTTATGGCACAACACCGGCCCACGTTTCCGGATTGTCAGCGGTGACGCGTAACAAACGCGATGCGTCAGCGGGGAAGCATGATAGATGTGACTTATACGGCAAAGCGATATATTTATGTATTTTTTCATTTTATTAGACATATTTGGACTGATGTGACTTATATGGCAGTGCGACGGGTACGGTGGAAAATACGGTAGTTGTTCGAAGAATATTTTCCTGGATGTCTCGGCACAAATACATCCGCCAGAGAAGCAGCTCAAAGGCAGCTTCTTTCCCAACTCAGGTGGAATGCATTCTTCATACTCCTGAAGCGTTATCGGACCACACAGCTCTGTAACCTCCAACACAGGGCACTGGCTCGAAAGCGAACCCAGCATGTGAGCGCTCATCAGACTTCCTCCAAGACTCTGACATGTAACCAACAGGCTTCTGGCACCGGCTCGTAAGCTGTCGCAGCTGCAGCTCCAGCAGCACAATGTTTCTGGCTGTCAACTGCGCCGAGCGCTCGGGGAGGTTTGGGGGCCTTTTCCTGTCAAAATCAATTGGAACACAGCAGCACAATTAGCCTGGGGGGCGTCTACTCACACTGGCAATGCCGAGCAAAGAGGAAGGGGGGAAAAAAGGCACCTCTCGTCAAATTTCAGTTTTAAAGCCTTAGCTGCATCGTTTTTAGAAACTTTGAACACTGGTCAACCTAACCACCTAATTTGGTTTTTCTGCAGCAACAACCACGTTTACGTTAAATATATACATAAATACTTCTAATTAATATTTATTGTCCCTCCTCAAATCTTAAAGCAGCTGCTGCAGAGTTGTGTCAGGCATTAAAACACGTCTATAACGTTTCCCATCTCAGCAGCATTCAGACCTTATTTCCTCCAAATGTATTTTTCCAGTAATATGATGGCAATGATAAATAAAAATGAAGGTTATAGCTCTCCTTAAGATGAATGCCTTTCAAGTCAGTTTTCAGCTACAATCATTTCATAGTGAGAAATAATGAGGTTATAGGCGTTTTGGGAAAACACTTCCTCTGAGCTACTACCACGACCTATTTTTAGCTCAGTGGCTTTAAAATTGTCTAAGCTAGAGCCATTTCTGTGCTAGCTAATGTCAATTAGCTGTGGCAGCCATGTTGAAGTGAATAAACACCCAAAATTAATCAGTTGTAGATGGATGTTCTTTAAAGAGAAACAGGTGTGCTGATTACAAATCCAAAGCAGGTGTGTACAGAGAAAGTAAATTATCCTCCAAATCAAAGACATGGAATTGAAGTTGACAAAAAAAAAAACAAAAAAAAAAAAACAGAAGTTGGACACTAATAGCATATAATAGCTGAATCTCAGGGAAGGAAACCACTTGTTTATATACGGTAGTCCCTCGTTTATTGTGGGAGTTATGTTCTGGACCCACCCCTGCAATAATAGAATAGAATAGAAACAGCCTTTATTGTCCCACGGATAGAAAATTCAAGTGTAACGGCAGCAACAGATAAAAAGATGTCACACAAAAGTTCCTAAAATGTCAAAAACAATATATAAAGAAATAAGATAAACAATATCAATAATAATGTTCAGTATGTATTGGAACATTGATTAGGACAGACTATTTACAGAACAGTATTACAGGCAGAGAGTGTGTTTTAGCAGAGGTCAGCATGTGTTTAATCCTTATTGAGTTTGTTGGGAGCAGTGATGGTTGTAGAGTCTAACAGCTGCTGGGAGGAAGGACCTGCGGTAACGCTCCTTTGTGCATTTAGGACGCAGTAATCTGTCACTGAACGAGCTCTCCAGTTCAGCAACAGCTTCATGCATGGGGTGGGAGACGTTGTCCAGCAATGATGTTATTTTAGCTGGAGTCCTTCTGTCTCCCACCGCCTGCACTGGGTTGAGGGGGCGTCCAAGCACCGAGCTGGCCTTCTTGATGAGCTTATCTAGCTTCTTCTTCTCAGCTGATGATAAGCTGCTGCTCCAACACACAACACCACAGAAGATGGCTGATGCCACTACTGAGTCAAAGAAGGTCTTCAGGAGCACCCCTGCACTCCAAAAGACCTCAGTCTCCTCAGCAGGTAGAGTCTGCTCTGACCCTTCCTGTAAAGTGCATGAGTGTTGTGAGCCCAGTCCAGTTTATTGTTCAGGTGAACACCCAGGTACTTGTAAGAGTCCACGATCCCGATGTTCACACCCTGGATGTTCACCGGGGTCAGTGAGGTGAGTATGTGCCTGCGGAAATCCACAACCAGCTCCTTAGTTTTATCAGCGTTGATCAGGAGGTGGTTCTGCTGGCACCAGTCCACAAAGTCTTGAGTCCGCTGTCTGAGTCGTCCTCACCTGTGATGAGGCCGACTATGGCAGTCATCAGAGAACTTTTGCAGATGGCAGTGTGGGGAGTCGATGGTGAAGTCTGCAGTGTAGAGGGTGAAGAGGAACGGTGCCAGCACAGTTCCCTGTGGGACCCCCGTACTGCAGACCAGCCTGTCAGAGACACAGCCCTGTGTCCTCACATACTGTGGGCATCCAGTGAGGTAATCCAGTATCCACTGGGACATGTGGTGATCCACTCCTGATAACTCCTGGCTGGATGGTGTTGAAAGCACTGGAGAAATCAAAGAACACGATCCTCACAGTGCTTCCAGGTTTCTCCAGGTGGTACCGGTACCACAGGAGGTCTTCCACAGATGTGGTACTTTCCCCCAGCTTCAGGCTCAGATGGAACATAAATCCCATGATCACATGATGAATAAGTAAAAATCTGTGAAGTAGTAATGTACACTCTTGCAATGTTCTAAACTCTTAAACCTACATCATTTTAACAACATACATGTAGCTACAAACCTTTAGTCACCAGCTCTGCAGAACTACAGCAGCTCGGTTACAGTCCAGCTCGGCAGACCTACCCTGCCGGTTCTGGTCTGCGCTCTGCAGCCACTGAGCACCAAAATGTTTTTGGAGGGAGCAGGACCTTTGGATGGTCAGCACAGAACCAGACGGTGGTTCGATCGAGTCCAAATCCAGATGGGGGAAGTCCTGGTGGGCTCTAGAGTGAACGCCGGATCTCTGGGTGTTACCTGTTTAAATAAAGGAAGAATGAATGAATGTCACCTCCCCGCCTGGGAGGCCCCATGGGCTGTCGGGCGGAACTCAGATTCACCAATGAGTCTGGAGGTCCGGTTCTGGTCCAGTTCCCGGTTGGTTCCTTGTGGCTCTCTGTATCCACTGGGTGCCCAAGTCACTGTATGAATAAGGATCGAACTTTTCGGATCGGATCAAAACTTTCCCTCCATTTCAACAGAAGGCAATGGCTGGAAGCACGCTGGGGCACTGTTGGCTTCTGGGAAATGTAGTGCTTGAGCGGTGATACAGTATAGGCTTATTGAGAGAAAAGTACAAAATGGTGGCGCCTGTCAAAAGTATATATATATACATATATATATATATATATTTAACTTTTTACTGTATTCCATGCTGTCCCAATCACACGAGTAATATTAAACTTGACAATCATGTGTCGTACAATTTTTTTCTCTCGTGTATAATCTTTCTTTGAAAAACCGCAAAAGAGCAAGTCTGCAAGTCGAACCGCGAAGTAGCAAGGGACTTCTGTATTTAAGGCTTTCAGAAGGAAGAAGAGAATTATATATATATATATATATATATATATATATATATATATATATATATACATATATATATATATATATATATAATTAGACAGACAGACAGAAAGATAGATATAATATAATATAGGATTATTTAGGTAAAATTGGTCATTCCTAAACCGTGGACATGAATTCCTTCCATCACAAAGTCCACCCTAAGCAGCTCTTTCATTTTGGCCTGAGAGCAGGCGGCGGTGCAGCGAGCTGAACTTCTACAACAGGGTTGTTTGTGTGCGGCTGCAGCGCTACGGGTGTCGTCTCTTCTTGTTGTGCTCTTCGAGTGAAAATGAAGTGAAAGTGGCAAACAGGAGGATGTCCAGGTGTCGGAGGCTGCTGCTGTCCTTCTGATTGTGTTTTCAGAGCTCGTGGCGCACTGTGCTGCTCAGAACATGTACATGTTATTTTGGAGCGGTGCGAGCTGGGCTGGAAGGTCCTGGCAGGTGGGGCTGACACCTCAGCACCAGTCCGGTCCTGCAGCGTTTCCCCTAGTTTGGACACTTCTCCCCCGTTTATCCATGACCCTTCCCTGTCTTATACAACCATGACCTAAAGGGCACTGCTGAGTGTGAGTGTGTATTTCCCCTAATGGGTTTTGTGTTTGTGAACAGCTTAGTGAAGATCTAATGTGCACACACCCCTCACCAGGCACTCCGGTGGGTGTCCAGAGGTAAAGACTGACCCTGATGTGTCACTTCTGCTTAGAAGCGGAAAGGGAAAGTTGGTGGACCACCGTTACTCACACACAAAAAAAACAAAAAAAATCACCTCAGGGCTGCTAACTGATCACTGCAGTCCACCACACCGAGTCAAAACTGACGCGGTTCCTCAAAACCCGTCTACCTATTTTAGGGTCTTTTTGAGCAACACTGTCATGAAACCTGCAGGCGTTGCACACGTTTCTGTCTCCCTGCGTTTCTGTTTACTGTTTGCACACGTGCAACATAGTGGGAAATGTTACAGCTGTTGTTTTTTTTTCACAGCCTGTGTGTGTGCTTGTGCATTCAGTTTACAAAAGTACAACAAGAGCGAGATGGAGAAAAAAAAAAAAAAGAAGTGAATTGTCGTGTGGGAAAAGCAGACCTGTAGGGCATCAACCTTTTGGAAAAACTAAAAAGTAACAGGAACTGCAAGACTGCATGTTCAGAAAGAAAACACAAGCACACACAACTGGCTGAATGTGTTTATTGAAGTTGTGAGAAGGCAAATACTGTAAAAATAGAAAAGATAAAGAAATAACACCAGGCTGATAAAAAGTTGAACCTTTCCACTTTCTTATATAAACTGTAGAGAAAAACATCACTTAGACCAGATTGTTGCTTTCAAGAAGCCAAACTTTCATGTGTTCTTTTAAAGTGTTTTTAATCAAGTTTCAAAGAGTTTCTTCATTTAGCTTCTATTCATTCATTTTAGTCCTGATCGTCTCCAGAGGAATGTTGCTTTTGTTTATGACACTTAGCTCAGGGCACCAGAAGTTCTGATGGGTCAACCCACGATGTTGAACGAACAAAGAGTAGGTTATAATTTGTTGAGGGAGTCACAAAGACACAAACTGTTCCCATTTCTTTTGTCAAATCCATTAAAAAAAATACCAAAGATGACTTAGTTTAATCCATAAAAACATACTCTTGTACCAACAAGGTGACATACAGGTGGAACTCCCAGGTCTCGACTTTGTTTCCGTTTTTTTAACAACGTGACTTTCAGATTTATCTGCTGTCTCATTTTGTTATTCAAGGCCAGACACTTCTTCTCCTCAAATTGTTCAATTATTAAAGCTTACATTGCACTTTAGGCTGTCAGGATCAGGTACAAGGACTGAACAACAACAAACGGAAAAGATTACAAGAAAGTCTGACTGAATGGAGGCAAACAAAAAAGAAATTAGGATTGGTTTAAAAACTTCACTGTACAGAACGTGTACGACTGTGTAGACCCTCGGTTATCACGGGGGTTACGTTCCAGACACCCCCATGGGAGGTGAAAATCTGCAAAGTAGGAACACTATTTATTTTAGTATTTATATATATTTTAAAGCCTTATAAACCCTATAAATAAATGTTCTTTACAATGTTCTAAACTCTTAAACCTACGTAATTTTACCAACATGTGTATATGTACTGTACAGTACTGCAAAATTTTACTCACCAGCTCTGCAGAACAGCAGCTCTATTCCCATCGGGCTCGGTTCTGGTTCTGCAGACCTACCCTGCAGCATGAAGCCCACCGCCCCATCCAGGTTTATGTGGATAATTCAGCTTCAGGATTATTTTCAACTTTCCTGCCAGTTCTGTGAGCTTAATAGAGAGATTGTTACTTCTGACTTTACGCTGCAAAACTTTCCCTCCATTTCAGCAGAAAGCAGCAGCTGGAAGCACCGTTGGCTTCTGGGTAGTGAAGTTCTTTTGACTTGTGTTTGAGTGTGTGTGAGAGTGGGCGAGCACACTTCCTCCACCCTTTCCATCAGCATGGGGACCCCACAAGGCTGCGTGCTCAGCCCAGCGCTTTATACTCTCCTCAGTCATGTGTAGGGGAACACCTCACCTCATTAAAGAGTTCAGCTCATCGAAAACAAACATCATTCCTGTGTTTTGTGTTTGAAACTGTTAAAATAAGATGAATCTATTCCCTTGGGAACAGACAGACATTGTTTTACAAATATTCAGCTTAGCTCATAAACTCCTTAGTTGACACTAATGTAATAAAACTGTTAATGTGAACTTCACTAACCCAATATAAAATCATTTCCCATGAAATGGACAGATAGTTTTAATGAGAGCTTTTGTTCAACTGACCTCGGAGTTTTAAACATCCAAACTTGCTACGTTGATATCTCCCCTGTATCGAAAAGGAGTACTCTTCTCAGACTTTCTCCTATGAGAAGATGATAACAAAGAAAGAGCCTTTGTTTGTTCAAAATGACATTCCTTTTCTTGGAGATGGACAGTCAACAGCGACACCTCTGTTAAAACTAGGGATGCAACGATCCACTTTTTTTTTTACTTCCGATCCGATCCCGATACTTAGATCTGAGTATCGGCCGATACCGATCCAGTTCCAATATCATGATCATCATTGATTTTATATGAGGCTGTAATAATCTCCTCTCAAGTACAATTTGTACAAATATATGCATGCATGTCCAAAAAGGCAACTTGAAGTAAGTTTTATTAATGTTGGATAAGTTTTAAAGTAAAAATTAAATTCTGCTAACACAAAACATGTTTCTTTTTATTCCTAGCTTTAAAGTGGACATTAAAGTGATTAATTTAAGTGATTGTTTAAAGTTGTTTTATATGTTATAAGGAGCAGATATAAGAATTTTTCTTCTTTCTGCACTCTTTTCATTCAATGTTTTCTTTTTGATTATTTTTTTTTTTTTGTTTCATTTAAATGAATGAATAAATGAATTAAATTAAATAAAAGGTTAAATGGCTTCAAACATCTGCTAAGTTCATGGCATAAACC